CATATTCGCATCACTTTCAGCCTTTCCTTCGGGGTTGATCACGTGGGATTACATCACAAGTGTTTGAAGCACCAATAACATAACTCATTGTAATATCTCTCTCTAGTCTTTTCGTTTATCTTGTTACTCTCTTTCTTGATCATGGTTATGATTGTGGCATTTATATAGGACAGTGAAGGTGGGTAACAATCGTGGCACTAGTTAAATACAAACGGCCAATATAGTAATAATTGTAAACTTCTTAGCACAAACAAAAAAAAAATAATAATTGTCAACTGGCCCGTTGACAAGTTACACGCATGACTCTATCTTTTGTTTTTATAATTATAACCCAACTCTCTCTTTTTGTTGAGGGGAATGGTTCTGAAAGATAAAAAATAAACGGTATACTAAGATTGATACCTTTTTTAGCCTAAGAGTATTTCTAACGGGGAAAAATTCATTGCGTATTTTTTTTTATGTCATTTGGATGTCATTCAAATACAAGAGAAAAATACAAAGATGAAATGCGATTTTGGAATACTAAACCGAATCCTCAAGAGACTAAGCCTCAAGACACTAGATACCGGGATCATAAGAAACCACTACCAAAAACATACAAGCATAAAAAACATAAGATAGAGTACCAATTGGTAGGAGATAGAACCCTCGACACTACTGCCTACACTCTGAACCAATAACCTCTCAAGACTTCACCAAAGACCAAAAGATGTAGAAATTGTGCCAACAACCATAAGCTTCAAAACCAAAGAGCAAAAGACGACTCCACAACCCGGAGAACCAATTGATGGACCTAAAGCAAGGTCAACCAGCAACAACACTAGCAGAGAAAGATCGCAGGAAAGAGAAGGAACATAGCTAAGCAACCACACAAAAAAAAAACTCCAAACAAACTGAAACCTCAAGATGGACTAGGTTCAAGGAAGAGCCTTGACCTCCAACAGGAAAAACGCCTTTGAAGACCCATAGTTCTTACACGCGAACACTCACAAACCAACCTCAATCACCTACAGATTAAAACTGGCCATCTCCTCGCAAGAGAAGGGTTAAAAATTCATTGGGTATCTTTTATATATATATTTAAATATTATTCTAATATTTTTTTTATCTAATTTAGTTATTTGTTTAAATATTTAATTATCATATAAATAATGAAGTAATAGTATAGCAACACATAACAATGGGGTTTTTTAAAACTCTTAGGATCGATTCCACAAGAAAAACCTTTTCTCTTTTTTATCTTTATAAAAATTTTTTTATTTTTCTATTACTTAGATATTATGGTAGATATCTTCATCCAGGGTGCTCTAAGGAACCTTTTATACCGTTTGCAAGTTCCACTAGTATATTACCCGATTCCAACGGCTACAAATAATTTTCCATTTTTTTTTTTTTTGATAGTTGATAGTTGATGTGTGAATAAGCCATTTTTTTATATTAAATACATTTAAATGCATATAGTAAGAGATTTATAATGTTATGTATATAGTTGGTTTTATTGGTTCGTAATGGGTCAAATATTTTCGGCTCAACCTTATTTTAAATCAAATTAGACCGGCTCAAAGTGGTTAATTGTGGCCTTGTGGGAATACTTATGTAAACTTTCCTCGAAACCAAGTGGTCGTCTTCGTGATTATTTCAACTATGATTCAGAGCTATTT